AATTTGTAAAAACAGATGCCATTAGGAAAATATTTGAAAGGCTTGCAGATTATCTTTACTCGTCATTTTGGCATTTTTTTTAAGCTTCAACTTTTTTTCAGTATTTATTCATTCATCATTCATTTTCTTCCCCCATATTAGTCTATTTCTGGGTTGACAATAAATGCTGCCTCCCAATGCTCATAGCACCAGTCCCTCGCTGATCCTCCTGCAGGTGGTGGGTCCACGGGAAGATGGCTGCTCCGTCAACGAAGACCTTGGTGTTTCAGCGCGAGCTTCAGGCAATGTGGGGTGGGAGCAGATGGAGTGGGTGGGCTCGAACCACCTACCCAAAGGCCAACGCTCTACCAACCGAGCTACTGTCACTCTACCAACTTGTTGTTTGAAAGTCTATTTACGTCATCTTAAAATGTGAAACTATAGATTCATTACACACAAAGTGACATACATTGAGCTAGGGACCTATGCATGTCACTTCTTCTCTTTAATCATATTTAAATTTGTGGGGCCTCGCCATGGTTTCTCACTTTTTCCCATTGGGTTTTTCATTAGAGTTCTAAATGGTCTAAGGACAATGTTGATCCTGGATACTCGACAATCAACAACATTTATCAACATTTAAGGACATTTGTTATCTGCCCCTGGCTCTAAGTGTTTTTTATTGCATTACTTGTGTTTGATTCACTGATCTGTGTTGGCAAATTCAATGGTTTTGTAAAGTCCTCTGAGATAACTACCTACCGTTGTGATTTTGGGCTAGCCTGGCCTTAGCCATCCGTAAACTCTGGTCAAGTATGATTCCCCTACATGTACATCTGGGTCTGATCTTAGTGGCTGCAGTTTCCTCAGTTGAATCCCATCCGACCATTCACCGAGCAGGGGAGCCGGGTGTTGTAGGGAGGTGTCGGTGACGTGAAGAGTTTTCACCGAATTTACCGGTTGTAATTTGGCGGCGAATGCGATGGTAAAGTAATATGTTCTGGTCCGTCTCCAAATATCAAGAAATTGAAGCCGGAGCAAGAGGAATGTTTCGCAAATGTCATTGGCAAAGATGCTGTGGCTTTACTCCTCATGGGCTCCGTTAGTGGCAAAGGAGATGGATAAAGCTAGGCTAAAGGCTAAATGCTAGCGGCTCACTCGGGCGCAATGCATATTTGGTCTCAGGTCTAATCGTTTCAATCTGCAAAAGGAGTTAAGCCCTCTACCTGATTACGGAGCTCAATGAAGCAAATCCAGCCCAGTTAGAAATTAAATTTGTACAATGGTGTGGTACGACCAGGCTAATTCTGGGCTGTACAAGGAAAAAAAATGAATGGAATTGAATTAAAATGTGTGATTTATCTTTTTTTAAAGGTTTTTTGGAGAAGGGCAACACTTTTTCTCAATGTAAACATCACCGGTGGTCAGGATAATTTTGTCATTGCTCTAAAAGCACAATCAAAAATGTACAGATTATTAGATTATATGAAAAAGAGCAGAGAGCGAGTAGTGGGAAAGAGGTGTAGGGTCAGAGAGTGTTCGGGGCTGCATCTTGTGTACAACAGATCCAACCTTATCGCTTCAGTAACAGGTACTTAAAAGAATTCACATTTCTATTCAAAAACACACACTACTGTGATTGTGACCTTTATTTTTGTAGATTTTTTTTCTTGCCAAACATTTACAAATAAACAACACATTTTCCAAACCAAAACACATGAAGAACCAGAGCCTTTTGACGTCGTGAGAAGAATCCGTTCTTAACAAATGAACGGGCTTTAAATAAATAGTGTTCACTTTATCCACAGGGGTTTTAGCTGGTGATCACTCCAGTCGTAATTAACTTTAGTGCAAGGCATGCCCCCCTCAACACTGCTCCATGCCATTTCTAATTGGCCATTATGTTTTCTATAATAGCATATAGGAACTGTTGCCTCTTTATATAATAATGTCTGCGCCTTCAAAATGAGAAAATCAAATGGAACTATTGGTAATTATAGCAGAAATGACCTATTATTGCTTAGGGGCAAAGCTATAAACAAAAAAAAAACGATTTTATCCTCACCCATAACTATGAATTGTTATCCCGATATAAAACAATGTGTCACCAAATGAATATCACATGTCACTGAAAAAAAAAAAAAAAAACAAAAAAACAGCAGTGGATCTATAAGTGTCAGTTTTACAGTACATTATAACAGGGTGCTACCAGTCAAATGCAAGAAAAAAAATAGGCAAATTCATAAGATAACATTACATAGATATACCATATATTTATACTATATCAAATAGAACATTCAAATCAGATTTCAAGAACACAAAACCCATCGAGTAAAACAAAAGCAAAAAAGGTGACATCGAGAAATTCATGTGCTGATCCGTGTGGAATGTAGTCTTAGAATTTTGATAATCTTAACCCTCGTTTTTATAACAAGTCCGTTCAAAGTCCAAAATCAGAAGTCCTCAATGCGATCGTATACTGTAGGCTTCATGCCGAGAAAGAGGAGAAAAAAAACTCAATATGGCACCGGAAGATCACTACAGATTAGAGAAATTAAGGTGCTTTCCCCGACAACTCGATAATCCGGGATTAGGACAAGGCTTTCTGATGTTTTGCATTGCTTTAGTCTGATTTGTCGATATTTCTGTCAATATTCCTGTAAAAGAACGTATGAGGATTCTCCGGGAACATCGCCTCCTGGGACCTGCCTACGATCATATCATAATTCATGCATGTAAACCAGTTTTTTTGTTTTTTTTTCATACAGTAGATTCTGAAAAATGTTGGGACACAGTGTATGACATGATTAAAACCAAAGGGAACTTTCTGCAGAATGGAAAAAATGACTTCAAAGCAGCAAGAGTGGCACCAAAACACCAGGGGGATGCAAATAATAACATCAGTGGAGCATAATAATTAATTGTATATTTCACAATCAATACTCATGAAGATAAATGTGGCTTAATCCAATTTGATCGTGATAAATATTGAATTTTTTACTAAAATATATCACTTTTTTCCCCATGTAAAATAAGCCAGAATTTTAGCACAAACTATACATTTCCAAAGCAGGATGAGTTTTATGTATTGAGTTTTAAAACAATTTTAATTCAGTGTTTTTATTTTATTTTTAATTTTACTATTGTTTTACATGTTTTTCTAATGTTTGTAAATGTGTATGATTTTATGTCTTTGTAAAGAATTTTGGGTTGCACTGCATGTTCTGTTGTTATTTGTTTTTTCAGTGCAATTTTTAACAAATGGAAAGATTGAAAAATGCTGATGAATAAAATGTAGGAATTCTTGTCTTTTAGTTTTGCATTTTTGAATCTATGTGGCTTAAAGTTAACAGCGATCAAAATTATTCGAATTATCTTAATGGAACTTTTTTAATTCAACGTTGCGGCCTACTGGATACAAAATAAGAAATATAGAAGAGCAATGTCTTCTATTGAGATCTTGGCTTCGTCTGACTCCCAAAAACTAAGTCCACAACCATTTTTTTTCTCTTCCCATTCACTTTCCCTGCATCACAACAGAGAAAACACCACTAAACTGAAATAATAATAACAAAGCCAAAACACCATGTCTCCGCTTACACACAAGTAGTATCCCAACATTTTTAGAATAGGGTTTTTCCATCTTTAACACGTAGAAAAATGGATCGATTCCGAATCCAGGATGGCGTCATTAGAAAAAGTCCCATTGTAAGGTGCGCAGTACAAAAGACACAGAGGTCGTCCAGCCTCGGTGTGAAGAAGGAAGGTAGAAAAAACACGGTGAGAGTGTTTCATTCACGTCCAAACCAAGCGTGACACACGGCTCTCTCTCTCTCCGAATGGGATCGTGTGGCCTCGTTTACCCCGCTTTCGTTTTTTTGTTGCCCCGAGGCGTGGACCGATGCGGACGCCGAAAGCAAGTTAAAGCTTCAAAAACGATGCTATCCATTTTAAGCATCAGTAACAAATATTTCCTATTCACAGATTTCTTTCCCAAAATCTGGATCATAAAGTGGGATTCAGAAATGCCATTTGACGTTTGATCGCAGAGAAACGTTTCAAAAGTATAGAGATATCTGGATCAAGTTTAGACGACTACACTGCAAAAAATAGTGAAATATGCAGCTTGAAACTGTATTATCGCTCAATATATGATTTAGACTCATTCGCTGCAAAAGGTGATGAAAAAGAAGTCAAAAAATGCTCAAATTCAGCAAAATCTATCTTAATATGAGCACATTTTTACTGCCTTAAAACTAGATTTGCCAATGGGACAAAGCAAAAGGATACAAGAAATGCCTCCCTTGGATTGAGAAAATAAATCAACAGTTCTTGATTAAAAACTCACTGGCAAATCTTTTTAAGACGATCAGAATGTCCTCAAATTAAGATAAAAGCCAAATTATTCAAGCATTCTTCACATTATATTTCCTCCTTTTTTGCAGTGTTGTAGATTGTAATTTGTGGTGTTGTATTGTGTTTTATAACAATCTTACAAAAAAAGTCTTGGCATATCTCACTTTGGTGTCATTAGTTTCACATTGAAAAGTTGAATTCAAGAAGTGAATTTACTTTTGAACAATATTCCAAGTTCCACCTGTAAATAGTAGAAGTAGAATTTATCTTGATTCAAGTTCAATTTATCCAAAGAGAAGAGTAGCCATGGTAGAAGCAGAAACGGATTATTTCAAGCTTTTTTTTGCCAATTTTTGCAGTGCACTTTTGAACCGAGCTCTCGTTTCAAAACAGATCGTTCCTAGACAAAAGTGCGATTACCAGCTTTGTCCATACATTTATCTCTCTATCTCTCTCTCTCTCTATATATATATATATATTTATATTCTGACATACAGATAATAAACATTGCAATCATAACATTATTATCCAATATTATCTATGATGCCGATTCATTTTACAGTTTTGCAATCAAGATTCTGATGGAAATAATGCTACATTTGAACTGCGGGAAAAAAAGAGGAGAGAAAAGCGTTTCAGTAGACGCCGCACCAGAACACATGAAGTCATTTCTCCCTGAAGTACAACAGATAAGCTTTGAGCGGCTCGGGCAGCGGCAAGGCCAGGATCTGGTCTCTCAAGAGGTTGACTTGTTTGATGATTTCGATGTCTCCGATGTCCCTCTCCTCCCCCTCCGCCTCCTCCTCGGGCTCTTTGCTGTGCTCTTCCTCGTTGTGGTCCTCCCCCTCGCTGTCCACCATTTGCGGGATGAGCTGGTTTCCCACGAAGACGTAAGTGTTGATGCGTCGTCTGCGGCAGCGCCTGCGTTTGCGCTTCTGGGGGACCCGCGGCGCGCTCTTGTCCTGGTCGTCGTCGGGCGCCAGGCTGCGGAGGGTCCGGCGGATGTAGACGCGCGACAGCTCCTGCAGGCTACGTACTGTCACTGGAGCTGCGGAGACAGAGGTGTGAGGGTGAACACCAGAACTCCCAGAGCAGCTAATTTGACGGTTTTTAGTGTTGTAAGTGTAACTACTAATGCATTTGTCTATTGTGAGTACTTGTATATAGTAGCCATTTTCAAGGCGCAATAAGTTTTAGCTTCTGCCTATTCCATTTCAGACCTTTTTTGCGCATATTTTTATTTTCAATGTTTATGTAATGAATGTTAAAATATCTGAATAAATCAAATCTGAAATCTGAAAACAAATCTGAGAGATATATGTAGGTGTGTAGAGTTCTTTTCATGCATGCCATAGTCTATTTTTACTTTTTTAACTTGTTGGCACCGAGAGCCAAAGCAATTCTCCTCGTCTGTGACTTCCTGTTACTCACAACAACGGCAATAAAAAGACAATTTTGCGCTTGGAGCCTTTGTGGTTTTAATCAAAAACATATCTGGAGGTTTTTATATTTGAATCTGAATACATGTATCTTTTTTAGCATTTTAGATCTTATCCATTCTGTCACTTGAAGAACATATATTTTGAATCGTACATTTTGGTCCTTGAACCTGATCTTTACTAAATAAACATAAGCCTGTCCCCATCAATATACAAACATATATTGTGAAATAACCTTGAATAAAATGTCCTAATTGCTAACTAGTGCATTAGCCCCTACCACATGCTTGTTTGTAGCATGTAAAAAAACACAAATGCTCTTTTAACAGCTTACAGTTAAAACACCAGGCTAGTAGCTCTCTGCTCTTTTTGTCCTGAAACAGCAGCACTACTGAGTTGGAACTTGGAGACCGCTGATCTAAAGATTCATCAGAGCAAAACAAGTTTAAAAACAGAGAATATGAGCAAGAAGTAATTAATTTATCATGAAAAAACCAAACCATCTGTATTTGTGATCAGAGAACAACGTTGTAATACGGTTAAAACCTCAAAAAAGACGATTTTGCTTATTATTATGAAGTGCAAAAATGGGCGCAATAACAAGAAAAGATATGAGTCTGGCCAGCGAGTAAACGGGGTCAGCAGCTGGGGAGAGAGCCTTCAAAGCCGCTCGGAGGAAGGGGAAATTACAGTGGTGCAGAGGGGGCAGGGGTTGTCACATCACTGTGGACGATCGTGGCTTCAGGAAATGTCTGGAAATGGACTTTTTGGTCTCGTCACTTGCAGAGGAAATATTTGCTTTTTAGACACGACATATGGTCAAATCAGGGTCTTTTCATATAATCTGCCTATATCATTAGATTATATGTTATTTCACCTTTCATTATTGGTACTGTATGTCACTATGCCTCATGCTGCTAACATGTACAGATGTATACACACAACTATATATTACTTGCTCTAGAACAGGGGTCTCCAACCTTTTTCAATCGGAGAGCTACTTTTATACAAACGAAAAAGCAGAGAGCTACTCCTTTTTGCAGTTATAATAAAAATCTATCTAATAATTACGAGAAAACATACATATACCATATTACTGTATAACCCAATACTTATAGTGGATATGTAATGGCTCAAAAAATATTAATTTGATATCATTTGTTAAATTCTAAATCCATTGGCGAGCTACCTGAAAGGGGCTGGCGAGCTATTGGTAGCTCCTGAGCCACAGGTTGGAGATCCCTGCTCTAGAACATAGGTGTCAAAGTCAAGGCCCGGGGGCTACATCCGGCCGGAAATGTTTTATCTTGTACCTGGATGATATTTGATTATTCATTTAATGTTCAGGACGTGTGTTTTATCTTTGAAATAAGTTTGTTTTTGTCTGTGAGCCCCTTGAAATTACTGACAGAGCAAAAAAAATATTGGATTATTGATTTAAATATAAAAATAATATTGTTATTATTATTTTTTGCCGTAATGAACTCTTCCAGGGTATGAATACTTACGGAGCTGCACGCTGTCCGGGGCCTTCTCTCCGTCTCCTCTGCTCTGCTGCACCAGGGGAGCAAAGGACACCGCCAGGATGTTTTTACTTTCCCAATTGCTCTGGCCCGTCCGAGTGATCTGCGTCAACTGCAAGAATTCAGACAGTTTCACCATCAGTCTATCGTTAATTACAGAGTGAGATGGATTTCTTTTCTCAAGAGACAAGATCAAGGTTGTATTATGTAACAAACTTCAATCTTCAATCCATAGTGAAGTGTGTGACTATGATGGAAGGGGGTCTCTCAACAGAAGGGGAGGAAGGAGGAAGGGAAATGTATTGATCCTGCTCATTTCACACATGAACAGCAGCTAAAGGCCATTAACTAAGACAATGCAATAAAACATGACAATATATTTAACAGAGAGAGAAAGTCTGAGGTTTTTGTGTTGTCTTTAATGAGTCCAGCAATGTCAAGAGAGAGATATACACCTTTACGACTATAGATAACTCCCTCGATATGTTATTTTATGCTATTTTATTTGTTATAGAGTTATTGTTCATTTATCTTGTGCTGTGTGCTCCTCCATACTACTGTTCTGTAACTGGTGATGCAACACTGAAATTTCTTTTTCAAATAAAGGATCTCTGAAGTGTTTGCTCGTCTCATATCATATTGGCAAATCAACAATCATGTAAAAGTCCCTGGAGATGACTGTGGCTGGGATTTTGCTCTGTACTAACATATGTAATCAGGACTTAGCCTCTATCTCCCAAATTTGTTTTAACCCTTTAATGTTCACTCCTTGAAAAAAGCAATGTAATTTTTTTTGTTATAATTTGCTTTTTTGTGTTTCTTTCAACCCCTAGTTTCTTAATCTTAGGCCTTTACCAAATAGTTGCGATGCAGTTTGATGGTAAAAGTGCCTATGACCAAGTGATAGAGATGCCCCAATGAGGTAGATTTCAGTTCCAAGCTTTGAGTAGATAGTGACCCAAAAAGTGATCCACCAAATTATTAAGGAAACCATTAAAGGGTTAAACCTGTCAATAAGATAAGATAAGATAGACTTTATTGATCTCACACTGGAGAAATGTACATGTCACATTTGGAATAGATAGAATCACTCACTGTGTAAAAAGACAGACGTGTGAGTCACTGCTTGACCTCATTCTTTTCTCCATTAATGGATTGTCTAAAAGTTGGAATGAGTTGTTGATCTTTGCAAGTTTTCTCTATGTCCGATGAATGTTGTGATGGCTGCACAGGCCTAATCTGGATCCACGCGTGTTGTTTACAAGCAGGTCATGTGTACAGTATATAGCATCTGTATCGCTCGCCGTTTTGGGAGCATTTCTAAACTTTCTGTCGTCTCTTAACTGTCCTTTCCTCTTTCCAGTATTTGGTTTCCATCATGACATATTCGCCTGCAGGTGTTGCTGTCATTTGCAAGGCCCCCCAGTTCCTCTGGCTTGATTTTTCACCTCTTCAATTCGAGTGGTTTGTGTTTTTGTTCTGTGTGAGTGTCCGAAATGGCAGATGTCTTTTCCCTACAGTCAGGTCCGGTCTTGGGATAATGATCCAAACAGCCTTGGGTTGTCCAAAAACATTCTCTGACAATGAAAAAAAAAACAATTTTATTAGCAGTTTTTTTTTCTTCATCCTACTCCTGTTCTTCCTTTCATGGAATGTATTACTGTTGTATTTGCTGGATTATTGTTATATTTTGTTGGATAACCATGAAAACCAAAATAAAAAAAATTATAATACAGCTTTATATAGCGTAGTTTTGGACACTAAAAGATGCTTCTCGTGGCATTATTCATCATTCATAAACTGTGATGGTAAGAACTCCACGGGTTTAACATGCCGTAACCTTCATTTAAGTAAGTAAGTAAGCAATCTCTATTTATATGGCGCATTTTGAACAGTAAAGACGTTTATTCCGACAAATCATACAAAGATCCTCATCATGAAATATGCAAGACTATTTCTGGCAAAAGCAATTATGGTTTTATGACAACTTGAATGATGAAAAATGTGTCAACAATTGCTCAAACTTGCCAAAATGCATCTTAATTCAAGCACGTTGTGACTGCTTTAAAACAAGAGTTTAAAAAGAAACAAGAAATGTCTCCCTTGAAATGAGAAAAATAAAGCAACAGTTCTTGAAATTTGTCCCATTGGAAAAATCTGGTTTCAAATTAAGCCAAACCATTGATTCAAGCCATTTTACCTCATATGTTTTGACTTTTTATTGTTGTTTGTATTCTTGACATTGATCATATAGTACTGTGTAAAAACTGTTTCAGAAATAGGTATATAACATGGTACTAATTGCTATGCAGAGAAGTGCTTATTTGCATTCACGTTTCCATTCCCAAAGACCCGATGATCTCCATTCATTCTCCAGATGTTCATTATGGCAGACAGATGCTTAAAGTAGAGAAAGTGGATCTGTGCTCCTCACACAAAAACTCAATATACTAAAACTGTATAAACTACAGCAGGGGAGACGCTGCACGGCTAGAATGTGGGTTTTTAAAAACACACTTTCTTTCCCTGTGCAAGGTCATCCAACTGCGAACGCAATGAATTTGGATAATGGTCAAAACCTTTCTGTGTGGAACTACTTATAAAAAGCCTCCATAAACTAGAAAAAAAACAGAAATATGCTAATCTACGCATGCAACAGCAATCCAGAATATATGTATGCAGGCCAAATAACTGCAGGTGAACAATTCTGCGGCAAAATCAAAAGTGACTGTGATTTTAAACACATGTTTTATTCAGACGAGTTTGGGACTAAAAATAAACCATGTGTGGGTCGGGGTACTTAGAGTGCCTCCAGTTTCTTAGAACACCTTATCTGTGTTATTGCTGCTTTCTTCCTGCATCCGGTAAGTGTCAAAGTGTCGGGAAAATGTGAAGTTAAGCTCTGAAAAATGCTGTTTATTTTGTGTTTTTAAGTTTCATAGAGGTGGTGGGTGTTTACTTGTTATCACTGGTGAGATAACTCGTAGTTTTTCTAAATGCGTTTTGTTTGTCCCGACAGAAGAAGTTTAGTTGGAAGTATTAGTTTGTGAACAAATCAGGTGACAACATACAGTCTTCATCTTGACCAAACATGTTATCCATTACATACTGAGAGCTGATTGGCTGAGTGAGGGCTGACACTCTCTCTTCCACTGAAAAAGTAGATCTAGAGATGTGACAGAGGGCAAAGCAACAAACATGCAGCCCCTATTTATAGAACCAAACAGTTTTGAGAGTGAGGATTTTAATACATCAATCATTTTTTGGGGGTTTGGAGTTTCAAAGTTAGGTACTCAAGCATTAAACTTACCAATATAATCATGGGCTTTTATTTCATTTTAACCAAGATAATGCACTACAATGAACATTTCTGTGCCAGTTTTAGTTACAAAGCTAGTTTTCAACTGTAGTCCCTGGGGAAGGTGCAACGATTCCATTAAAAGACATACAAAAAAATAGTCAAAGAGTATCAACAGCTCATATAAGACAAGTTAACAACATAACGTTTATCAGCATTTAAAATATTGCTGTGTTTGTACTATATCATTATGGACTATGGGCAGTATTATAGTTATTATAGAGTTGATGTTATTAAAGATGAAGTTCAGGATCAGGGGCGCCCCACAGCCTCTCCAGCCAACCACACCTCGGCTTCTTGTCCCCTCATTTATTTTCAAAAAGGCATTTACGCAGACTTTCCCCGTGTCACTGTTAGTCTCCGCCTCTCGACCCCCCGTTTCTCGCCCGTCTTGCGACCTTCAACATAATCACAGAACCGACTGAGCCTCGCCCTGCTTCATTCTGCTGCTATCAATATTCAATTGCATTCTACAGTTGTGGTGTGGTGCTTGCTACAGCATTGCATATCGCCACAGGCTCATTGTTATAATAAAAATAATAATGCATTGGTTTTATATTGCTCTTTGTTTGGGCTCTCAAGATGCTTCACATGGCATTATTCAGTCACTCCACGCCCTGGGGAAAACGGACAGAAGCGAGGCAACCGGTTTGTGCCCCTCTGACCATAACCAATCATTCACTCACAAACCAGACTCATACTAAGCGTGGGTAAAGTCTTGCTAAAAAGACATCTCAGTACTAACCAGGTTATACTTTAAACAACTAAAATAATATAAAATCATCATACATTTCCAATTTATACACTTAAAATCATTAGATTACGTAGTCCCATGTTTTGTGGTTACCCCAGATTTAACATTACGTAATATAATCCATCCAACTAACTGCAACTTCTGGCTCTTAGAACAGTTTTGATAAATCCCATCCATGCATTTTCTGACCTCTATCACACTTTTAAATTCAAGTTTCTTAGACGGAAAAGTGTAGACAAGAGGATCACCAATCAGCTCAGCGAACACGAATTGTCAACTATTTAGGCATGCAAAAGTTACAATTAAAACAGCACCATCTGGTCTGATTTAGCCTGCAGGTCAAATAATCCGTATTTGGGTTATATCAAAAATAGTGACAATGTTTGTAAAATGATGACCAAAACACAAAGAAAAACCAAAGTAACATTGTCGTATGTACAAAGTGACGGCGGCACCACAACCCTAATATTATTTCTTATTAACACCTCTCCACAAACCTCACACAGTTATTAGAATTTTACATTAAGTAAGCCAATTTCACCCACTTCATTACAAATGCATTTTATACCCATTCAAGCACAGGTAAATCGCCATGACGATAGCCCCGGAGTCAATACTGGCAACACGAATGACTTTATGAGGACAAAATACAGTCATTGGGATCTGGTCAATGGCTTCATAACAAGCAGAGTGCAATTTGCGGAGTGGATTATGAACACAAAATGAGGAGAGTGGAGAGGCACAGTAATCTAAGTACATCTGAAAGAGAGGAGACTCGTGATTTCGATTCATTAAAGGTGTAGGGAATGATTTCAGTTGAGTGGGCCGCCACCTGGGGATGAAATATTTATGGTATCTGATATGGCAGTGATTATTTTTATCGCCAGTCTTGAAGTATAATTATTTTCCGGGCTAGATTTTCTTGGCTAGATTTTCTTGGGCTAGATCCAAGTAACTTGGATTCATGGTATGTTGAAAAGCATGTAGAGAAAAGAAATAA